TCTTTAATGAGTGATGGTGTTGTACAAAAACATTAAATTTTGGTCATGAAAAGTGGAAATAAATGAAATTTGCAGACATTGTGTTTAAGCCAATGGCGTAATGACACAACGATAGGCCCGTAAGCAACATTATCTAGGTGGGCCCCATATGAAGTACAACAACCACCCCACCCAGTCACCAACATCCTCCTCTCCCTCTTTGGTTCTTTGAAAGATAGTGCTTATTTTGGGATGTTTTTTCCTTTCTTCCAGCGGCTCTTCTTTGCTTTTTCTTTTCTGAAATCCGCTTAAGTACCTCTTTTTGGTATCTATCCTTGCCAACACATTGTACATACAATTATGCTTTTAATGTATGCTCTGGATTACCCATAATTCCAAGTCATAGGGCAAAAAATAAAATACTCAACTTGATCGTTCTTTTAAGATCTTTATTGCGTTTTGAAACATATTATATGAGTGTATTTTTTACCAACCATCTAATGAACTATACACAGTTATTAACATACGGTAGTAATTAAAAGTACCACTGTCTGCTTTGCTATTGGTGTCGTGTTTAAATGGCTCACCATCATATTGAAATCTGCCATGTGTTGGGGTATTAATAAGGTCGGGTCAATTAACGTAGTATAAGTTGGGTTTAAGAGGAATTTTTCGCACCATTACATTTGCAAAGAGATGTCCTAGTCCACAACTGCGTAGGGAGGCTACCAGGTGTTAGTGACTGGGCCCCTAAGAGGTTGGGGGGGCCCTAAGCAACTACAGGCTCTGCTTACCGATATATACGCCATTGGTTGAAGCTGGTATTGGTCATAGATGTTGTTTAAAATAGTTCCTGCTCTTTACAAGGGTACATGTAAAACAAAGTGATATTACAGTAGCTGCTGACCTAATCAAACTAGCTTCCAGAGGGATTAGCCTGCAGTCAGATACTCAAACTACATGATGGTATGGAATTATCATTTCCTGTTAGGCTTTGTATTGGCTGGTGAAGTTGTAATAATTGATTACTTAAATCCGGTCACTATGAAAAAGGGAAAGGATGCAGGTGTAGGCTAATGTCCAGTAACTGCATCTATCATCCTCTGTACTTCTTTTTAGCCAGTTCATCCATTTAATGGTAATATGATCTTTAGTTTTTTAATGGTTATTCAGTATTGAAATCAAGTGTAGTTTGGCAAACAACTTTTTTAAATGTTGTGTCAATCTTCATTGAAAATAAGCTCATTATCAAAATAATTGTTTCAACATATTCCCATTATGAGTGCGTGTGAAATCGTACGAAAAGTTATGCACCGTAATTTCGTAAGTTTTGGATGTTTTTTCCGATGTATGAGCATGCGCATCTGACGCACCTTTCACGAATATAGAATATAAATTACAATTAGCCCTAACCCTGACCCCAACCCTAACCCTAAGATATAAAACAGCAAGCAACGTAGTTAGAGACATGAATAAGTGATAATTGCACTGTTTTTCCCATTTTTTTGTCCGTCCGCGGATCTGCTTTTTTTTTTTTGTCTGCCAGCGCATGCGCAATGATGTGGTTTTTTGAGGAAAAACGTCCAAAAACGGACGGAATAGTGTGCATAACTTTTCGTACGATTTCACACGCACTCATAATGAGAATATGTTGATTGTTTTGATAATGAGCTTTTCAATGGCTGAGTTGATGGCCCTGCTGCTTGGATCAAAAACATCCTGGGTTTGAATCTGGGCCAGGAGTCTTTTCTGCATGGGATTTGCATGTTCTCTCTATGCATGTGTGGATTCCTAACAATTAGGGTAATTGCTATAAGCAGATTTAACAATAAAATACTTATATTTCTAAACAAAACAAGACGTAAATTAAGTCTAAAATACAAAGAGACATATAAACTCCTGATCAAAATCTTAAGACAAGTCAAAAAATTGCAAGAATTTGCATTTTGCACTATTGGATCTTAAGAAGGTTCAAAGTAGAGCTTCACAATGTTAAAGGAAAAATCAGTGCAAGAGACAAGAACTTTTGAGCAGGGAATTTTCTGAAACCTGCATTTACACTCAAACATAATTTTTTCAGCTGATCAAAAGTTTAAGACCATAGTCTTTAACAGCCAAAAGCTGTGCAAAAATCTGGATTCCATGTCATTTTCTGTCAAGTCTTTACACTGTCAAGACTTCCTGATGGCAAAAGCAAAAAAGCTCACTGACTTTGAACAAGGGAGGATTGTTGAGCTGCATAAGCAAGGCCTCTCATAACGTGTCATCGCTGCTGAGGTTGGACGCAGTAAGACAGTCATTTTGCAATTTTTTAAATGATCCTGAGGGTTCTGGAACAAAAAAGTCAAGTGGTAGACCCAAAAAAATTTCACCAGCTCTGAGCCACAGGATCCGATTGGCTGTCCGTCAAGACACAGGATGATCCTCTTCCCAAATTAAGGCCATTACTGGTGCTGACCGCAGCCCAATAACCATCAGACTGCATCTGCGAGAGAAGGGCTTCAGAAACAAAAAACGTCTTCAAAGGCCACGTCTTCTTCAACGCCACAAAATTGCTCGGTTGGACTTTGCAAGGGTGCACCAAACATGGGACATTGAAAGGTGGAAGAAAGTTGTCTTATCTGATGAGAAAAAATTTAACCTTGATGGTCCTGATGGCTTCCAACGTTACTGGCATGGCAAGGAGATCCCACCTAAGATGTTTTCTACACGGCACAGTGGTGGGGGCGCTATTAAGATTTGGTGTGCGTATTCCTTCAATGAAACAATGGAGCTTCAGGTTGAGCAGGGGCATCAGACAGCAGCTGGCTATGTGGAGATGTTGCAGCGGGCATCCCTCATGACTGAGGGCCCTCGTCTGTGTGGTAATGATTGGCTTTTTCAACAGGACAATGCTGCAGTTCACACTGCCCGCCTGACAAAGGAGTTCTTCCAAGAGAATAACATCCCTCTTTTGGACCATCCTGCATGTTCCCCTGATCTAAACCCAATTGAGAACATTTGGGGATGGATGGCAAGGGAAGTTTTCAAAAATGGACATCAGTTCCAGACAGTGGATGCCCTTCGTGAAGCCATCTTCAACACTTGGAGCAATGTTCCCACTAGCCTCTTGGAAACACTGGCATCAAGCATGCCTAAACGATTGTTTGAAGTAATCAACAAGAATGGTGGAGCTACTCATTTCTGAGTCCTTTTTTTGACACTTTGATTTCTGTTTTGGGAGGTTTTCGGGTTTTTTGAGCTATGGTCTTAAACTTTTGATCAGCTGAAAAAAATCAAATGCAGTTTTCAATTAATTCCCCGCTCAAAAGTTTTGGTCTCTTACGCTGATTTCTTCTTTTAACATTGTGAAGCTCTACTTAGAACCTTCTTTAGATCTAATAGTGCAAAATGCAAATTCTTGCAATTTTTTGACTGGTCTTAAGATTTTGAACAGGAGTGTATATACTGTTCTCATCTGGAAGAAATAGTTTTTCACTGTAACTGGTGTTTTTCCACTTCAGGACCAGTAAAGCACTTAGCTGCTACCATAAATATGAGCCACTTCGTCCTTGTGGACTAGAATCTGACAGTATTTCTAGCTAAGTAAGAGAAAAAAGGCTGTGCTGCAGAATCATAGTGGTATTCTCTATTAAAAATAAATAAATAACGGGATTGAAAAGACAAAGTACAACAGGTTCTTTTTCACTTGAATCTCAAGGCATATCTGTGTTTCTTAATTAGGACCTAAAATGGGAAAACATTGGATGTCTATTTACCATCCAGACATACTGTACCATCATATTCACCAGTCGGAGCTTGAGCTTGCATTAAACGATGCTGATCAGTAAGGAGGCTCCATATTACTAATGTACAGGTGGGGTCAGTCTTTGCTAGTCCTACTTCTGTTGCAAGAGAAGATGTGTAACATTATGGAGTTACTGTACTAACCTCAGGCATCTTTATTGTAAAAGAAGTTGGAGTTTTACCACACTACTAGTTTGTGAATATTTACTAAATAAAAAGGCTTAATTTGGTCTAAAATCTCAGGTCATTCAGTGAACTTATATTTTTGTCTGTGACTTTTAGAAAACTTTACCAACTTTTAAACTTGTTAAACAAATCCTTTTATTTGGATCATATTTCTTCTGTTGTCTTTTTTCATAGTTTTTGCTTCTTGCCTAGTTTTCTGTTTTAACTTGTGACCATTTTCCTCACTAGAGTTTTGTTTAGTTCATTAAAGTTAATTAAAAGTTTTCTCTTAAAAGTAAGTTTAAAGCAACTGTATTTATGAGTTAAAAATAATAGTACTTGAAATGCAGGGCAAGTTTTCTCATTCTTCCATCATTAGGAACTAATTCAAACACAAATAAACATGGCTTGCTTAAATCTTGTCACCGTTTTTAGTCCAAATTCTCTATACTTAAAGTGTTACATAAAAATTTGAATGTCAAAATAATGGTTGCTTTCTTTTGAGGCTTGGTGCTGACTAATATCTCATAATGTTTAATGATGTTCCAAGAAGCTAATCATGGAGTCCTCGTGGGCCTGTTGGATAGATGAAAGCATTCATAGTAACTAGATTTCTTTTCCAAGTGGCTCAGCCCAGTGTTTTGAAAATGCTTTGTAATGAGCTGAACTTGCATTTCTTGAAACTGTCGAGGATGCAGATAATTCAGTCTCATGAGAATAGCTGCATAGTTAAGGTACTGTTCTTGGCCAAGTTTACTGTCTTATATAGTTTATAGGTTTAGGGTGAGGATAAAATATTAAAAAACTAACAACAAATTTACAATATTTGGCATGTATGCATAAAGGTCATGATCTACATTTGTAATAAAAAGCTCAGCAGGCATTTAAAAGGCATTTACAGTATAATGAGTTGTAATTTATTTATTTTTGATTATGTTGCTAAACATGGCAGACAGCCTTTTAAAATGGTCTCATGCAATGGTTGGTCAAGTTTTTTGAAAGTGTAACTGTTTTAAAGATTTTCTACTTTTTCCTCACCACTCTAATTTAAAATTTTCTGTCTTTTCCAGATAATTCTCTATCACCAGAATCCTTGGCTGTCACTTCTTTCCCTGACTTTGAACCCAAAACCTCATACTTCAAGGACTTTAAGGCATAATCAGTGGCAAGCCTGGTTCATGACTGTTACAAAAAATTTTCCAAAGTCAACTAACCACCATCCTGTCCCTTCCCAGCATGGCTAGACGGAAGATAGACACCTATCCTAAGGTTTTTGTTAGCCTGGTTCTTGTTTCTATTGTACTCTCTCATGTTCAGAGCAATGAGTGCCCTCAGCTGTGTGTGTGTGAGATCCGACCCTGGTTCACCCCCCAGTCCACCTACAGAGAAGCTATAACAGTGGACTGCAATGACCTTCGTCTGACACGGATCCCGGGGAACCTGTCCAGTGAAACCCAAGTTCTCCTCTTACAGAGCAACTACATCGCCAGGACCAGTGAGGAACTGGAGCAACTCTTCAACCTGACAGAACTGGACCTTTCTCAAAATAATTTCAGTACAATCAGAGATGTTGGTCTCATCAACATGTCCCAGCTCACCACACTTCATCTAGAGGAGAACCAGATCACAGAAATGCCAGATTACTGTCTACAAGATCTTAGCAACCTACAGGAACTTTACATCAATCACAATCACATCAGCACTATTTCTGCCAATGCCTTTTCTGGTCTGCATAACTTGCTCAGGCTTCACCTCAACTCCAACAAGCTAAAAACCATCAACAGTCAGTGGTTTGATTCTACACCTAATCTAGAGATTCTCATGATAGGAGAAAACCCTGTTTCTGGAATAATGGATTTTAACTTCAAGCCCTTGGGCAATCTGAGGAGTCTGGTTTTAGCTGGGATGGATTTGAAAGAGATTCCTGGAAATGCCTTTGTGGGACTCGACAATCTTGAAAGCCTCTCTTTTTATGACAACAAGCTAATTGAAGTCCCTCAGAAAGCCCTTCAGAAGCTACCTAACCTGAAATTCCTGGATCTAAATAAAAATCCAGTGCACAAGATACAGGAGGGGGATTTCAAAAATATGCTTAGATTAAAAGAATTAGGGATAAATAACATGGCAGAGTTGGTTTCTATTGACCGCTACGCTTTGGACAACCTTCCTGAACTCACTAAGCTAGAGGCAACAAACAACCCCAAGTTCTCTTATATTAATCGGCAGGCCTTTCGGGATGTCCCGGCATTGGAGAGCCTAATGCTTAACAACAATGCCCTGAATGCTCTGTATCAGTCTACTGTGGATACTCTCCCCAACTTGCGAGAGATCAGCATTCATAGCAACCCTTTGCGCTGTGACTGTGTCATTCAGTGGATGGGTTCCAACAAAACCACGGTGCGATTTATGGAGCCGCTCTCCATGTTTTGTTCAATGCCACCAGAGGTCAGGGGTATGCGTGTTCGTGAGGTGCTGCAGAAAAGGTTATTAAACCAGTGCATGCCCCTAATTTCTCATGATACTTTCCCCACCCACCTTAATTTAGAAATTGGCATGACTTTGGATTTAGACTGCAGAGCTATTTCCCAGCCTGAGCCTGATATTTATTGGGTGACACCAATGGGGAAGAAGGTTATGACGGATACTTTGTCTGACAAGTATAGCCTTAGCAAAGAAGGGACACTGAGAATTTCCCACATCCAAGTGGAAGACTCTGGCAGGTACACTTGTGTTGCTCAAAACTCTGAGGGAGTTGACACAAAAGTAACAACGATTAAGGTCAACGGCACTCTGCTCGACAACACGCAGCTCTTAAAAATTTACATCAAACAGACAGAATCTCATTCTGTCCTTGTTTCCTGGAAAATAAGCTCCAGCGTAATGGCCTCCAACCTCAAGTGGTCATCCGCAACATTGAAAATTGATAACCCTCACATTACTTACACTGCCAGGGTACCCGTGGACGTCCATGAGTACAATCTCACACATCTGCAGCCAGGAACTGAGTACGAAGTGTGCCTCACCGTATCCAGCATCCAGCAACAACCGCAGAAGTCGTGTGTGAATGTCACAACGAAGCAAGCTACCTTCGCCATGGAAATATCTGATCAAGGGACTAACACTGCTCTGGCAGCAGTCATGGGAACAATGTTTGCAATCATCAGCCTGGTTTTACTGGGTGTGTACACCGCTAAGAGGTGGAAGAGGAAAAATTATCAACATTCTCTAAAGAAGTATATGCAGAAAACCTCATCAATACCTTTGAATGAGCTGTACCCTCCACTCATTAATCTGTGGGAAGCAGACAGTGAAAAAGAGAAAGAAGGAACCTCGGAGACCAAACCCAGCCAGGTGGACACCACACGCAGTTACTACATGTGGTGAAGGAAGTACTTACCTGGGAGATACAGAAACATCATTGTTTAAGTAGCACAAATATACTTACTTGCTTCTTCGTCTTAATATTTATTCTTTTCATGTTTTTAACTTTTCAGAAGGGTTTCTTGGACTGAGGTGAACAATAAGCCAAGATTTTCAGACCTTATTTTACACACTTTTTTTTTTTTTTTTTTTACCTCTCACATGTTTTTGACAGTACGGCAGCTTCATTTAGTATCTTGAACTTCTTAGTCACAAGGCTTTACTTTTAGCACTCATTTTTATGAACAAAGCATGTCACAAAATCATGGATACAGGGGATAAAAATGAAGAGCTGAATTTCAAACTGTTTTCTGAAAAGTTTATCTGGCAAACCAGACTGCAGTTTTCATTTCTGTTGTAAAACAGTTTCACTGTTAACTGTTGTGCACTCAAATATATACATATATATACTAATTTCTTTATCAACTAAAATGTAAAACTGACTAAGTACATTTAGTCTTGATATACTGTCTATTGAGAAATGTTTGGAATTCTGTAATGTTGTATCAGCTATAAATTGATTTCCTTTTTGTACATTAAAAGAAAAGTACGTTTGATTTAGACATTAAGTTTGCAGGGCACTGTAAACCAGCAATAGAAATATGAATGTTATAACCTAGCTAAATAGATGTGAGGCTTTTTATAATTCTTACAATTTTTCTTTCTTACATTGCTAGAGTGTCTACAATCACTGTTCAAATCGGGTTTACAACATTAACATGCGGTGTAATGAGGAGAAAATCAAATAAAATGTTCTTTTAATCATGTTTTCTAACCCATGACTAAAATAGCACGTGTCTTTATTCAAAACTTTCTATATTTTTGTAAGAAATTTGAAACAATAACTTGTACTAATTTAGGAGTTTATAAATATTTGAACTGAATTGTTTAATGTTTGTGAATTTGCTTTAGGGCAGCAACTCAAACATACCACTTCTCCATGTGATGTGATGGGAAAATGTATTTATATTAAATCATAGGAACTGTGGAACTTATTAATAGTTAGAATTTCCTAAAGGTGACACATTCATCTGTTCAGACAAACTGATGAAGGTATTATTGCAGTAGGAATACCCAGCTATCATACTGGAAAGTAAAATAACCCCTCAGTAAAAAATGACTGTTTCCCAGAGTTACATTTTTATATGTGTAAAATGTGAGTATAAATTCCAGAACAAAGGTAAAATATGCTGATGAAGATTCTCAGTCATCCAGGTCATAGTCATTCCGTAAAAGTTCAAAAAATTCAACTGGACAAGGCCTTGTCTATATAAAGACTCAAACTCACTGCGAATCCAGACATTTGAATTGAGAAAGCTTCTTGGAGAGGTGACGAACGTCTTCAAATCTTGGAAACCAAGTCCAGTTGATTTTTTTTTTTTACTTTTACAGAAAGGTAAAATATCTTTAAAAATTGCTGAAACTAAAGCTGTTAAAAATGCCAGCTATCTTTTATAAATATTGTCGACTAGATTAGTCACAAAAACAACATACAATGTTAGATCACAGTTTGTAAATGCATTTCAGGAGAAATGTGTTACTCTTCGGTAACGTCCTGTAATATACGCTGTTTGGCTTAATAACTATTGTTACATTTGGAGGGGTAAAAAAGTTTGCTAGCTTCAGGGCACTGTTGAGCTCTGAAGAACAGATGTGGATGCATCATGCTCTTGGAATGTTTTGCTGCAGGAGGAGGTTGTGCACTTTATAAATTAAATTTCATGAGAAAAAAAGAGAATTCTGATTGTATATAGGCAACATCACAAGATTTTAGCTTAAAAGTATAAAGCTTAGATGTTGGCTAGTTTTCTGAATTAAAAATCTCCACCAAATTAGCTGAAAAGTGGCATATTGAAAACAAAAGTCAGTGTTTTGGAGTGGCCTAACTCTGATCTTTCCCTGTGTAAAATCTGGCTCACTTTATTACTGTCCTCTTTTTGTAACCATAAATGAACCTTTAACAAGCTTCTTTAACCATTGAATTTTTCATACAGTAATAGGTTTTTCAAAAAACACACCCAATCCACCCAAATACAATTCTAAATCTTCCTTGCACATTGGAAAAGAATAGAATACAATAAAAAAGAAATATCCATTGTTTTCCCACAATCCTAGATTTCATGTGTCAAAGCTAAAATTAAATGGGACCAAATTGCTTCTAAAAAAAATTATTTTAGATTTTGTATGGTCTTGTGTACAACTACCATAGAAAATATACTAAGTTTCTGAGTAAAGATGGCTGAAAACAAATAACTGTAAAAAAAAAAAAAAAAAAAATTGATTTACATACAGTATCTTTAATAAATGGAAATTTCTTTTTTTGCTTATTTTTTAGAAAATACCCAAAGCTGATAAAAGTTAGATATTTTTTACACTATATATTTCCCCTTTGAAGACAGTTTTCCTTAGGTTTTATTTTTTAAATTAGCTTTTTTGCACCTTTTTTTAACCAATGTATGGTCTACACCACCTGCCTGTGCTGGCAAACCTTGTTTAGACTGTTGTTGAATTATGATTTCGGAACACCTAATATTGCTCAAAGGGCCACAGATGAGACAGACTTTGAGCACCCTGCTTTTTCCAGCTGATTAATATTATTGCTGAATTAGTTGACAATTATTTCAGAGATTGATAAAGCAGAGTTAAGCTTTTCATTTGTTTTGATCGTTGTATATTTTCCTCTTTTCCCTGTTATTTTTAGGGGTTATATTAACCTCATGAGAAGAGGCTGCAGACATTTGGGTTAAAAGTAATAGGCAATAGAGGTCTGGCCTTTGGTAAACCTATGAACTAACGCTACATCTAGAAAGCCTTTGCTGCCATGCTGTTATCTGCATGAAACGAATAGGCCTTTTTCTCAGACTCAGCAGGTAACCTAGTAACAGACCGGAAATCAGCTCTGTGGGACAGCTATCAATGAAGGCTTTTCAAAGCGTCTGCTGCTGCTTGCACTGTGTCCCATCCCAGTGGCTTGTTTCCATGACAACGCCTTCTTCCATCCACCTGCAAACCCTAGTTGCATAGTGAAAGAAGGGTTGCATGCCTCAGATCTGACTGACAAGGTTAACGCCCTGCAGGTGGGAAAGCACAAAAACATCTTTTTCCCTATTAAATGTGTGAGGAGAAGCAGGTTCCAATGAGCTGCAAAGGTAAAACTTGCCTACTTTTTCATGCAATATCAATGCTTAAGAGGGAATTTGCTCATTTTTAAGAACCAAGAAGTCGTTTGCCAGACGAAGTTTGGGGGGAATTTTGAATTAAATATGCTAATGTATTAATTTATGCTGCTCCATGCTACTAATAGGCAAATGATTAAAAAATGCAAAAGAAAGAATCTAACATTCTGTTTTCATAAGGTTAATGGATAGCTGAAAAAAGCCATCTATTCAGCTCACCAGGCCTACATCTACAGGTTCATGGTCCATCAAAGGGTCATCAACATATAAGAGAAACAAACGTTGACATACAATCAAAAGGTTGTATTTCTCTCCATACTAGGACTTTACATTTATTTATATTTATTTTAGTTTCTACATTTATCCCTAACCATAAAATTTACCATAACCATTACCAGTATATTTCTAACTCTGGTCTTAACCTAATTAAGTTAATTCACACCATACCTCTAAACCAGTGGTAACTAATAAAGAAATGGAAAGAATAACATCTAAGCACTAGATAATGAATTCTGCAATGATGCATCAATGAAGGCTGTAGTCACAGTCACAGCTCTAATGACATGAAAACTAGCAAAGCTTCAGTCCATTCTGAATTAGTTGTTGCCAGAGTTAATGATGTCCAGATAAGGTCTGATGAAGCATTTCTAATCTGACCATATAAATGTTTATCAACAGATATAGTTTGTCAAGGTTTTAGAAAGTTTTAGCAAAAACAACTCAGTTCTTTTGAGACATATCTGTTTTTACAGGGTAAAGCACCAGAGGTAAGAACGAGTAATGGTTTTACAAGTCTCCAAGTTTCAAACAAAGACTGTGAAGTCAGAGTCTGTTCTCAAGTCAATACAGGTAACACTAAAGTTAAAGCCTCGTTTATGCTTTGGCTGCAAGGTCTTTTACCACCCATACCCTCGGAGTGGAGTCTGCAGGGTCTGATTTTATGCACCCCACACCTAGGAAAGATTGTGTCTACATGGACAGCTCCATGCAGAAAAACATGGTAGATGAGCCACAGCTCCTACTGGCAAGTGTTCAAAAACCATAAAAATCTAGTAACATCTTATCGTGTGACACATACATATTTCTATGATTAACACATTGTGGAAAAACTCTTGAAAATATATTACTCTCACTGTTGGATGAGATGATGAGGCTTTGAAAATGTTGAAAACAGCCTTGTTTTCTACTTATACATGTTGTGTGGCGTTGTAAGCTTGTGGTCTACATGACCTCCTAAAATTGAACAGAAGATAAGGGAACTACAAAGTATAAAAGGGGCAGACATTGCCGACATCGTGCGTTGTGGACAATACGTCCTTCATGCATACCTGGGCCTTAAGTCCTAATTATACTCAAGTTCTTCCAAGTTCTTATTTTAGCCGAGTTTTTAGCAAAGACCCTCCCACCACCATTTCCTTACCTCCCCTGGCCCTCTAATTAATTTGTAAATCTCTGTGTCACTACTCTAAACTGCAATAAAAGAGAGTAAGTGTTAATGCTGTATTTAATGATTATATGATCACTGTTTAATACTTCTTAGGTTTCAGATAATTTAACAAGTATATAATCCACAGCAAACCAAGTAAGACTACATACTGAGTCCCACCTGGGCTGCTCTAATTTATGCAAATTCTTGTAGGCTGTCAACACCAGAGGCGTAAAGTTACTAGGAACATATATTTGTTTAAAGTACATAAGTAATTTTTTTTTAGACTCTTTACTAAATATTTTTCAAATCAAGACTTGGTTTTTATTTTGTTACATTGGAGACCAAAAAAATTATCTTTACTTCTTTAGTTAAATATTTAAAATAGTATCACTCGTCACTAATTAAAATATGACTGTATTTTTATCAAATGTTTTTATGTGAAATCAGCATGTGAACAAGAGAAGAAAAATTGCACTCTTTACTTATATATACTTCTATCATTCTGAATATGCTCTTAAAAACTGATAAAACCAAGTTACCAATTCTACTTCTACTGTTTTTACCCAAGTGAAGTAAAAGGTCCAATGAAGAAAACTTTGTCTTGTTTCTTTTTACGTACAAAAATACTTAGCACTTTTACTTTCCCTGTTATTGTAAACAATTTTTAAAACTTATTTATGTAGGTACCTTTTTTATTAGTAACTTTTCAGTTTAAATTCTTTTTGGTTTGTGAGGATGCAAGTTTTATGATTCTATACTGACAGATCAGTAATCACAAAACATGCAGCAGCACCGCTTTAAAATGCACGAGAAATCTGATACTGTTCTTTTCTCATAGCTATTTGTTTTAGCCATTAGACTCCCTTAATTGATCCAGAGTAAAATCTCTTCACCCAGTTTATGCCAATAAAGGAATAAAGCTTATTCCTCAAGAGGCAAAACCTGGGGGTGATTGGCTAAGACTTCAGCAAAAGAAAAACACAGCTCAAAAAAATAAAGGGAACACTTAAATAACATCCTACTGTAGATCTGAATGCATGAGATATTCTTATTGAATACGCTAATAAGATCACACAAAAATCATCAGATTAAATGTATTTACCGATGGAGGCCTGGATTTGGAGTCACAGACAAAAGTAAAGTAAAAAAAACAAACACACTACAGGCTGATCCAACTTTGAGG